GAAAGAGTAAGGTGGATGAAGTCTCCCCCTCTGACACTGATAGCATTAATGCTGGTCATCCTACATTCTAGAGAAAGAAGGTTGTGTGGATATTAACATTCTCTATGGAGATGGGAACAGGCTTCAAGCCGTTTGAGATCAGTAGTTACCTTAGCAGACACTGAAGGTAGAGTGGACTTTTCAAAACTGACATCCAAGTTCCATTAATATGTGTTTTCACAAAGGAATAACCCACTTTCTGGGCCACATTGAAAGTGCACAGTATTTCATAAATCTATTGTTTCAGGCATTGAAAGGATGGAGGAAAAGGGATGGCTCTTCCATTGTGGCTGTGTACTTCTGGGGACAGATTCTGAAATGTGCTCCAAAGGAATAGTGAGGTCAGTGATGAAGCTTTGGGGACTTAAAGTAGTTGACGTGCCTCTTTACCTGCCCAAATCATTCTACTTCGGATTTGTTCACTCAAGAGTGCTCAGGTCACTATTATTTTTTAGAAATAAATGTGCTGCCAGGAAGAGAAGGACAAATCATAATTTTCAAATACTCTGTAGCAAAATCTACACAGCTTGACATTTGCAAATTTTCTCCTTAATATCTATTTTTGATATGCACCACTGCTTCTTTATACTTTTCAGGAAATAAAATGCAAATGAAAATAATGTAGCAAAGTAAGCAGAGAACCAGAACTGACATCCAGAATATTGGTGTTTCCAATCAACAGTTTAACTTTACCCCATAGTGCAGAACTCGATAAACCCTATTTAAATACGTTACCAATTATCTAACAAACTAGTAAAAGCTTGGGGAGGTGATATCAAACTGTCTCCTCTTTTGAAACATCTTTTGCTAGAAAGACCACATATGGTTATATATATAATGACCTCATCTTTTTCCCTATTAATTAGACCTTGGCAGATCATGGCATGACGTGAAATCACGATGGAGTCCATTTTATCACGTAGCAGTTAAATTTTATTATATATATGAACAAATGTGTGTATACATACTTATATGTATATACTATGTGCATACATACATATACGCATGTGTATATACATACATATATAAACTATTAGTTAAAAATGTAAATCATATCATTTCAACTCTCTGCTTAAAATACCCCAATGTCTGAGAATAAAATCCAATTTCCTTACCACAGTTTCAAAAGCCCTTCATGATCTGGCCCTTGTGTATCTGGTGACTTTCACTTTCCACCACAGTGCTCGCTCACTGTGCTCCAGCCACCCTGGCTCTCCTTCTGTCCCTTGAACACATCCAGTTCATTCTGCCTATGGCCTTTGCAGCGGCTTGACCCACTGCCTACAGCACTCTTCCCCACTCGGTATTTGTGTCCTGCCACCTATTCACCATTTAAGTCTTTGCTCAAGTCTCTGCTGTTCTCGTAGAGACCTACCCTCACTCCTCTACCAGCAACATCCTTCTGCATCATTACCCCAACATCGCAGCGCTTATCATCTGAAGTGATCTTATGTATCTGCATTGTTTTGTCTCTCTGCCTACTAAAATCTAAGAGACTTGAGAGCTCAGATCTTATTTCTTTTATTCACTCCTACTTTCCCAGCACCTAGGGTAATATTTGTTGAATGAAATGAATTTTTAATGAATATGCGTTCTTTGATAATGATATGGAATATAGACAAAATTAGGGGGAGAAAGATCACTCATAATCATATCATTCTCATGCAAGTGCAGTTAATTTCCTTCCGGTATTTTTTCCCTCTAATATTTAAACCATAATGTATATTCCAATTTGTAGCCTACTATTTCTTAATGCTTATGTTTGTCCGCCTATGTCAGAATCATCTTGATTCATTTGATCCCCACCAACCTTGTGAAACAGCAAAACCTAGCTATTATTACCAATGTACAAATATGGAAACTGCAACTCACGGAGATTAGATGCCTTTCTTGCTCAGTGTCACACCATTGGTAGTTGATATCTGGGTCTTGGTCTGGCTCATCTTCTCAAACTTATTGTCCAGAATTTCCATTCATAAACGGTCTGCTCATTTTTCTCACAAAACATTCCTTCTCCATCACCATTCCTTCACTGCACTGATACTGAATCTCTTCTTTGTACTTCAGTCCTTCTCTCAAGAGCCTGCCACTCTTGATAAATCTGGACAATCTCAGTTCACTATACTTATTTTTCTCAAATATATATTTAAAACTCACTGTGTCACCATTTCACACTTTGCCTATGATAGCTAATTGGCTTCTATAAATTTAATGTAAGTATTCAGTCTAATTCAATGTCTATTTCCTCTTTACAGTCCCACTGGTCATAGTAATGTGTTCCTATGTCTGTTCTCATAAATTAACTGAATCATATGGAAAATAACAACCCTATTTGGTTCACTGTGTTTCCTTACCCCCCAAACATGCCCACACACTAAGAAATGAATCATTCAAAAAATATTTATCCAACTCCTTTGTGCGAGGCGTATTCCTAGGTCCTGGAGATATAGCAATGAACAAAACAGACAAGATCTCTGCTGTCTTTGAGCTTTCATTCTTGTAATTGGAATGAAATAATGAACTATTATATCATCATGGGATAAGTATTAAATTTCAGAAAGCTAAAAGAACCCTGATCCAAAAGTTGAGAAGAGGGTACATCTGAGTTTGAAGCCTTCATGGAAGAGGTGGCAATCCATGGACCTTGGAGGATGAGCTGGAATTCACTGCATAAAGAGGAAGGCCAAGGTCATTCCAGGCCCAAGGAACATCCTGCTCGGTATTACGGAGAAGTGAAAGAGAAGAGTGTGGGGACGGTGAGAAACTGGCCCAGCAAGTCATAGATTATTAACTTATACATTCCAGGTCTACATTAGATGCAGTGAGTTTCAAGGTGACTTCAGCCTTGTCCTGTCAGGGTCACGTCAGAGTGTAACTCTTCCCTCCTGTCCTCATGAGGATGCCTGTGAATGCAGTAATAGTGCAGCAAAGTACTTATCCAAGGTGACCTTGCTGTATATTTGTTGATAGTAACCGAGCCCAAGTATTCAGTGAATCTCACAAAACCTTACTGCAAAAATAAGCAATGTATGTCCTGGAGGGTTAGCTAATTTCCTCTCTGTCCACAATTAAAAGGGTGTCGTGTTTCATCCTTGATTATAACCTGGCTTGTTGTCATTTTTATATCCACAGGCAAATCAGATAGTTAAGCACACATTGATTAATGCAAACTTCTTTTTTCTTCCACTCATTTAAAAATTTTATAGCACCTCCTGCCCTGAGAGTTCCTGCTCATCTCTGAAACAGATTTCTGGGAAACTTTAATAATTAAGAATTAGTTTAAGCAAAAATGGAGTTCATTCTCCCACTTTATTCTGGAACCTGATTTTAAATTATAAAATAATTCAAAAGAGGAATAAATATATGTTTGGTAATGAGATATAGTTAACCCAGTTTTGTTCTCAATACGTAGTGAAGCTCTTCGGAAAACAAGGGCAGAAATAAATGTATTAAACACAATATATCATTCTATATTCAACACAAGATTTTGTCAGGAAGTGTCTTGATTTCCATGATATCATTGTCAGAGCTCAGTGACACATATTTGTAGTAGAAGATGGTAGGAAAGTCTAATTTGTGTGGCTAATGCAAAACTTAAGCATATCTACATACGTTGAAGGGCAGGTGGGGCTGGCTTTTCACGGAAGGGGTTCATTTACAAAAAGATCCAGAGAGTTAAAGGGGAAAAAAATTCATGTTAAGAGAAGAGAATTAAGGCCAAAAGCAAGAGGTAGAATTGGGAAGAGAGGAGTATTTTTAACCAGGACTCTCTCATTGCATTCCGGCCCACTCCTGCAGATGTATTCTGGCATTTTCAGGAGGAAATGTCTGTGAAGCAGTAAACAAAAATATGAGAACACTTTCAGGTATAAAATAAGTCAGGGGGATGTAAGGTACAGCATGGTGACTATAGTTAATAATACTGTATTGTATGTTTGAATGTTGCTAAGAGAATAGATCTTAAAAGCTCTCAACAC